TTTCTGGGCTAAGAATTAGGTGCCAAAATAGGAACTTAACCTCTACTTCTAAAGGTAGAGGTTTAGGATAGCTCTCCAGAGAGGATTTGAAAAGCCTCTGATTGGAAGGGAAAGAACGGATTGTACATTTTAGTGTGGCAGTGAATATTTTAGTCATCAGCTATTCTTGAGAATCCTGGGTCAGTTGCCACTTATTGGTTGTGGCACTGATAGATGGCATAGATAAGTTATTTATCACTTATGTGTCTCAATTTTGTCATTTATAAAATAGGAAAAAAATAAATACAAATAAAATAGGAGTGATGTCATGGTTTGTGCCTCATAGGATTATTGTGATGATTAAATGAGCTATTGCATATAGAACATTTGGCATAGGGCCTGACATAGAGAGTTCATCAATCACTGATCAAGTGTTGGCTATTATTATTATTTTGGATGTGGGCTTCAATTCTTTTGCAGCCATGTTATATTTGTCATGGCACACCTGAGGCCTGGAAGCTCATTATAGAAGGATAAATTCAAATGTGAGAATTCTCCTCCTTGGGCCCACCCATTCATTTATTCAACAGATGTATTGATATATAACATATGTAAAAATGTATTGAGCATTTAAAATACTCTAGGTACTGTTTTTCATGTGAAAATTAGTGAAATGGTATACAAAGTCTCTGCCACATAGGTTCACACTCCAGTGAGAGAAGTTAGAATCAGGCCAGAGGGCCAACGGAGGGTTGGGGGAACTCGGTAAAACCCATGCACTTGAGGGGCAAGTGGAGAATGAGAATCCAGAAAATACTGTAGAGAAATAAGTGAAATCAGAAGACATGGTTTCCATGAAAGCCAAGGAAGAAAGAAAAGAATCCAAACAATGTTGGATGTTATAGATAATTCAAATAATAAAACAGAAGAATTCATGGGTTGGATAGTAAAGAATTCATGGGTGACCTTGAGAAGTGCAGACTATCGTGAGTTTGGAAATGAAGAGGTGGAGGTGAGGATATGAAAGCAATGAATCCTAGTTCAGAATGAAAATACAATTTAGGAGAAGGAGACAGAGGAAGAAAGACTATGAAGATACAAATAAAGCAAAATGGAATAGACAGAAAGAGTAAACATGGATGGAGACAGGAGGAATCTGTGAGGTAAGAAACAGGATGAACTTGAATGTGGAGAGGTCAGAAGTTTTTAGAGCTCAAGCTTGGTTCCCTTTTACATTCTCAGTGAAACTGGAGGGGAAGTCATCTGCTAGGAGTTTGGGAGCTGTGTAAGAACAATGAATTTTAAAAGCCATCTTGGGCAAGTGGACTAGAAGATGATTTAGAATTAGAGATAACACTATTGGACTGCCCTAGAATCCAACTGAAGTTTGAAAATTCCCACGGGTGGAAGTAACTCTTATACACCAGCTTTCTAATTCAGAAGACCCAAGCTTGTATACACTATTGCATCAGATATGTATGGCCAAGGTTATCTACACACATCTCACAGGCTGACTAAAGAGAATAAGAAGCTGATATTGTATTCAGGGACATCCCTAGCAATGTTTGAGTTTATAGGAGTTGCCCCACAGGCCTCACATCCCCTTAGTCTTTCAGCCTCTTTTTCCACTCCCTGTTCCCAGTCTTGAGAAGAGCTATAAGGGCCCCATTCTTCCTGGACACTAGAATTAGAGGTTACTCAGGATTCTCTGAGACACAGCTAAGGCCAGTATTCCCTTGACCGACCCTAAGTAACCTCTGAGAGAGAACTGAGGGGTGGCAACAGTGAGCTCTGAATCTCATTGAGCCCCAGAATCTGTCTGGCCCCAGAGATAAGCAGAGTGGAGGCTGGTCCTGCTTATCCTGCTGTAAGGTTAGGCTGGTTCCAGCACTATAGTATAGGGAGAGAAACTCTTTACTGATAGGACTCAGTTTGGATTCATGAAGTAACAGCTGTCTATCATAAAAGGAGGGTATGCGGAAAGCCCTCAAGAAATGAGCTGATCTAAACTTAGTTCTGCTGCACAAGCACATGGAGCTAAAGTGGCTCACCCATAGAGAGCAGAGAGCCTTAACCCTGCCCACCACCACACTGCACCTCAGGTCCTGGGGTTAGTGCTGAGAAAAAGCTCAACTACCCAGTGGATTTCAAAAGGCCTAGTCAAGTCCATTAGCTTGTACTAGATAGGGTATTCAAAAAGTCCTCTTTGATAAGGTAACATTTAAGCAGAGATATAGAGGAAGTGAGAAAAGGAGCCATGCTGATATCTGGGGTAAGATTTGGCTAGGCTGAAGGAACAGCAAATACAAAGACCAGAGTCTGGAGCATGCTTTGAGTGTTGGAATAAATATCAAGGCGGCCAGTGCGGTTGATTATGGTGGTCAAGGGGAGTGTTAAGAGATGAGATCAGAGATAGAGGGGCAGGTTAGTTGGAGTGGGACAGAGTGGGATGGATTGTAGACTATTATATACTATAGTTAAGGATTTTGGCTTTTCCACTGAATAAGAAGCCAACCAGCAGAATTGCTTGGACAGACTTAGACTGATGTACTTTTAAAAGGATCACTCTGGCTGCACTGCTGATAACTGACTGGAGTGGGGTAAGGACAATACAGCAAGGAGAGCTGTTGGAGGATATGACAACAATTCAGGTGAAAGGTAATTGTGGCTTGCACCAGAGTGGTTCCAGTGAAGGTGCTAAGAAGTTGTTGAAATTCAGAGTTTATCTCTGAGGCAGGAGGCAGGGCTGACAGGATTTGCTGATGGGTTGAATGTGAAGTGTGAGCAAAAGAGAAATAAGGATCATTCTGATTGTGGCCCCATATATTGTGAAGATAAAATGAATTAATTCATGAAAAAAATGGAACAGTGCCTGACAAGGGCTTAGTGAGGGCCACCTAACTGTTACAGTATTATTGGACAAGTTATGGTGGAGGACAGTAGCTTCACATGTGCTACTTATAATCACTTTCCACAAGCAAGAGCTTGTGTACTCTGACATTTCCCTGGCACCTCTATCTTAAGTTTCCTCCTGTACTTCCAGGCAGAATCACAGGGTACAAGGAGCCACTTCATCTACAAAATGAGTATAGTAATCTCAACCTCATAGGACAGCTGTAAGGTGTGTAAAGAGACACATATGCATGATATACAGATGTTTAGTAAATGTTCTTCTTGTACACCTTCTAGACCTTTGCTACTGAAACTATGGTCTGTGGCCCAGCATTATCAGTATTACCTGGAAGCAGTTAGAAAATAAGAGTCCTAGCCCCACACCAGAGCTGCTAACTCAGAATCTGTGTTTTAACAAGATCCTTAGGTGGTTTGTGTGCACCTTAATATGTGAGAAGCACTGATCTAGGGTTTCAAGTTTATCCAGTCCAACAGTCTCTTCAGGGTACAGATGCAGAAAGAAAGGCTAAGAGAGAGGAAGAGATTTACATGATGTTATATTTAGTTTTGTGAAGACATCTACATTCAAGCTAGGGTTCTTTCTACTACATAAAAGTTTCAGAAGTGTCTGTAACTCAGCCTCTCTGGGGAGGAAAGGATGGAGAAAAAGCAGAGGTTCTGTTTTCTAGGAAAGCACAGGACGGAATTAAGAAGTATCCGGGGTAGCTATTTTCATTTTAATCTCACAGATAATTTCAAAGGGCCCTAAAGTGCATTCATGTATTTATTTATTTATATTTAATAAACACTTCTATACCACTATGTCCCAGAAATCGTTCTAGGCTCCTTATGCATATGAACACTATTTTGTATATTAATTCATATAATTCCCCAAACAATCCTATGAGTAAAGGATTGTTATTTTCCCCATTTCACAGAAGAGAATCCTGAGCCACAGAGTGGTTAAGTGACTTGCCTTAGGTCATAAAGCTACTAAGATGCAGACCTAGGATTCGAATTCTGGCAGTTTTCCCTCCTCCTAGGCCTGAGCCCAAAGTAGCTAATTCTGGTCTCAACTCTAGCAAGGGAACAGATACCACGTTCATGTAGGACTTTTTCTACTTCAGCTTAGGGCCTATTCAGCCCTTTCCCACCAAAAGCTTTTCAGCTGCTGTACTAAGACTCTATCCTGAGTGGGCATATAGCCTCTGCCCAGTACAGGAGGAGCCCCTCAGAGGCTGATAACGACACATTTCTCAGTCCTCTCCCCCATACCTTGGCTCAAGTTTTTCTTTTCCTCTACCCATAATGCTATTTCCTCTTTGACCTCTTTTAAAACCTCCACATCGATTGAAAAGCCTTTGCTTTCCCTGGCAAACTCTTTTTTAATACTTCTTTCTACCCGCCCCCCAACCCTGTAGTCTGTACCTCATAGTTTGGCCTTCTGACTCTGTCCAGTCAATTTTATCTTCCCAACTCTTCTGCAAGCTCTTCAAGGTCAGGGACCAGTAACGTTTCAGGATTTAACCACTGCTGCCTCTGAGATCATAGATAATAAACTCCCAAAGTGTCATTGCTTGAAGTGCCCTTAGAGACTATGTAGTTCAACCCCATCCTTGTACAGACAATCAGGGGCCCAGAAAAGGTGGGTGATCAGAGCTAAGTGCCGAAAACAGTTTTCCTTTATTTTTAGTAGTGTTTTCTCTGCTTCATTTTTGCTCTCTTCCTCCAATACTACCTACGCTTCTAAACGGAGGAGTATTTTTTTGAGGCAGAGCCAGAGCTGGAAAGTGGCTTCTCCATGTTTCTGAAAATCGTGGCTTTTCCAACAATAGTTTTCCCTGTCAAACCCCAAGCCTGCTAACTCGTGAACAAACTTGGATGAGCTGAGCTGCATTCAGCTGTGAAAGAGACAACTTGAATCTTTCTCTAGACCCAACTCCGTGGCCCTCTACTTTCTGGCCCCGCTTCAGTCACAGGAGCTTTGCAGCTCCTGTCATACCAGTCGCTTGGTCACTGTTCTTCAGCCTTACATTGTGACTCTTAAGGACAGAGTTTCTTTTCGTAGCCACGCCTAGACACTCAAGTAATCCAATAGCTGCTCTAGGAACTTCACTGGGGAGGAAGAAGTAAGCTTACCCTGAAAGGAGGATTTGGGCCATTGAAGCTACACGTGGATGTGAAATGAGTCAAGCGGATCTTTGATTACAAGGAATTTCATCCACTGTGAGTGTGTGGGCAGGCTGGGGGCCGAGGGGCGGGGCCGAGGGGCGGGGCCGAGGGGCGGGGGCCGAGGGGCGGGGGCCGAGGGGCGGAAGCTGGGTGGGTTGTTTGCTCTCGGCTGAGGTGGGTTTGTCTGGAATCCCATTTTGGAAGCAAGAGCCATCTACTCGTCCGTTACAGGGTAAGTGTGGGAACACTCTCTGGTGTGGCAAGGCGGCTGGGACCTGCGGCATCTAGGTGCGGAAGTACAGAATCGTGTCAGGATGATCCTGCTAGGGTGCCGCAAAAACAATAGGGAGGGCGCCCCGTGACTGTCAGTCCATCCAGTTGTATCCGGAGAGTGCTTTCTGAGGTGCCAGGGATTTGGGCTGATATCCCTAGGGTCCTGGCGAGCCAGTTCCTATAGGCTCTTACTGGACCTGCATTGCCCTGTAGGCTCTTACTGGACCTGCATTGGGAACATGCCTGGACGTGTCCAGCAACCTTGAGCATCTAGCGTTCGTAAAGAAGAGAAGGAGACTGGGAGTTAGTGGAGGGGGGAGCAGTGGATCAGACTTGTGGAGCATCCTGAGGAAAGCAAAACTGCTGGCCCGCCCACGTGGCTGGAGGGCAAGTCCGGGCTTGTGTAAAGAGCAAGCTGGCTCTGTTTGGGGGCTTTCAATCCACCCCCTCACCCGCCGAGCTTGGTTTACTTGATCTCTCATTCCTGGGAGCTGAGTGCCGGGCAGTGTTATTTTGATCCTGCCTCACCCCAAACACTGGCCAAGACCCAGCAAGCTGTAAGAACGGGGGGACAAGAAGGGACCCGCCAGAGATCTGGCTAGGAAAACAGAGACTTCAGGGTCTGACTTAGACAGGTGTTGGCAGAGTTCGCCAATGTCATGCTGGGTAGCTGGGGCAGCAAAGTTTGTACCATCTCTCCTAGATAACTCCTCTGTTCCTTCCTTCACCACAGCATACTTTCAACTCAGCAGACTCACTGAGCACCTAGTCTGTGCCACCATGTGTGAGACAGTGAGATGTTTGTCTGAGACTTAGGCTGTATCCACTGGGGCCTGACAGTGTCATCCTGGATATAAAAAACACAGATAAATATAAATATAACACGAGAGAGGTTTTAAAAGTTAAATCAAAATGCTCAGAGGCTGCCAAGTAAGGATCATATCAAGTTGAAACATATGAAATTAGAAAAAGGTTTTTGATTGTTTTTTAAAATTGCAATGCCTTTCAGGGCTCCATAGTTAGACTATTTGAGTTCACATCTCATACTCACCATTTTTTAACTTGTGTGACCTTGGACAAATAAAATTACTTCTCCCTTTCTGAGTTTCTGTTAACTCCAGGCTAAAGTGGATAATAATAGCACCTACCTCATAGGATTGTTGTGAGTATTAGATGATATAATCCATATAAAATACTTTCACACACTTAGCACGGTGGCTGACCCAAAATAAACACTCAATAAATATTAACTATTATTATTTAAAATAGACTGTGGCACACAGATAAGATTTCAACAGGTGGAGATAGAGAAGACAGTTTAAGCTGAGAAAATAACAGGAACAACTGCTTTAAGGCAGGGAAGCTCAGGACATGTGAAAAGAACACCAGCTGACCTGGATTTGAGAGTTAGCAGGAAAATGTAAGTTAAAGTTGCCAAGGCAGATGGGTGGTAAACTGCAAAAGACAGTGGATGCTAGGGTTTTGATTGGATTTAGCAGACAATGGAAAGCCATTGAAAGTTTCTGAGCTTAAAAAAAAAGGGCAGATCCTCTGCTTTAGGAATAGTAATCTGGTTAAAAAAAAAATGGTTAGTCAGCTGGAATAGGAAAACATAAGAGGTGGATAAACTAGAGGCAGTGAGAGAACAAGGCCCTGGGACTGAGGTGGTGGCTATGGGAATAGAAAGGAGGTAATGAATTTAACAAGCCATCACGGAAGTTGAATCTATGGAACTTTGTAGTTGATAAATTATATGGGATTGAAAAAGGAAGAAAGAGAAAATCAGAATCTTTTCAAGTTGGCTTAGAGGGTAAAAGGTTGTGCATTCCCATCTCACTTCTGTGGATAATGCAATAGAAAGGATATGCACTTTCTGAGCTAGACACAGCTGTATTCAAGTCCTGGGTTTGCTATTTGTCTGCGGTTTGTGATCCTAAACATATTATGTACCTGACATTCCCAACTAGGATCAGTATTTCCACAAAGCACTTAGAAGTGCGTATGGTGTGTTTGTGTGTTTTACACACAGTCTAAGGTACTACTGCATTGAATGCCAAACCAGTGCAACAGATAATTGTTCCTACCACCCACCATGCCAGTAGTAAGCTAAATGAGAAGTAGTGAAATTCTTTGAGCCTCAGCGTTCTACCCTGGAAAAAAGGGATAATAGTACTCACATCATGGTGTTATGAGATAATTAAAAGAGGTATTTCCTGCCAAGGGTTTAGTGCATAGCGCCTGACAAATAGAATTTCATGATTCGTAATTTACTTTTACCCTAATGGACTCCACATTAAAACATCCCTGCCAATCTCTGCTTGAACACTTCTAGAGGGAGTTCCTTACTTCTTCCTGAGAGAGCCCATTCACTTCAGGGAAAGCCTTGGACTGCTAAAAGTGCTTCCTTTGCTTAGCTTAACTTTGTTTTCCTAAAGCTTGTACCTGGATATCCTAGTCATTCCCCTTGAGACCACCTAGAGCAGTCTGTTCGTTTTCTTCCATGACAGTTTTTCAGAGATCTGAAGATCAGAGATCAGATCCCCCTGCATCTTCTGTGCCTGGGTCAAACAGCTCAGCTAATTGTACCATTTCTTATCTGGCATGGTGCCAAGTCAAATATGACTCTGGTTTTGAAGTCTATAAATTGGGGTATGAGTATGTCTTCATAGTAATGAGGACTTCTGCAAAAGGAACAGAATGGATAAATGTGACAAATTTCTTTGTAGTTTATTTTTTTTAAAACTATTTTTTCTGCTCAGGCTCATTCCTGTAATCCTAGCACTTTAGGAGCCTGAGGTTAGAGGAAGGCTTGAGTCCAGGAGTACAAGACCAACCTGGGAAACATAGCGAGACCCTGTCTATGTAAATTTTTTTTTTTTGATTAGCAGGGCACTGGATGCTGGGCACCTATAGTCCAAGCTACTCGGGAGGTTGAGGCACTAGAATCTCCTGAGCCAAGGAGTTTGAGGTTGCAGTGAGCTATGATCATGCCACTATACTCCAACCTGGGCAAAAAAGTGAGACTCCATCTTAAAAAGAAAAATGAAAGAATATAAATCATTTTTTCCACTATGTACCAAATACTTTCAAATCTATCATCCCAGTGATTCTTTATCTTCAACTGAGGGAAGTGCAGATTTTTTTATATATATTATACAGGTGGCCAGACAGCTCATTTAGTTGGTAAGTATCTGTGCCAGAACTGGAAGCTACATTTTTCTTACTCCAAGTTCAGTAGGGTTTTTTAATTTCCACAGCTGTTAGAGTTTAAGGTGATAGATAGCTGGACAATTAGACCAACTCTGGCACTAAAGAATGAGACAAAAGAAAGATGGATTTCCAATTACCTTAAAGCAGTTATTCCTTCTTTGAGAGAATTCTTTTCTTTTGAGACGGAGTCTTGCTCTGTCACCAGGCTAGAGTGCAGTGGTGCGATCTTGGCTCACTGTGCAACCTCTGCCTCCCAGGTTCAAGTGTGTCTCAGCCTCCCAAGTAGCTGAGACTATAGGTGCGTGCCACAACGCCTGGCTAATTTTTTCTATTTTAGTAGAGACAGGGTTTTACCAGGTTGGCCAGGTTGGTCTCGATCTCCTGATCTTCGTATACACCCTCCTCGGCCTCCCAAAGTGCTGAGCCACTGAGCCTGGCTGAATTCCTTTCTTTAGATGTCTTCTTGACCTGCTTCACTCGAATGCCTCCTGCAGAGAATGAATCATCTTTTGGAGCCACTCCTCAGTGCTGAAGCTTCATATTGAAGCAGAAGCTGCTTTTTCACTGCTTTCTTTTTGGAAACTAGGTCCACCCATGTATTACCATCATGGGAGCTTAACAGGAAGGATATGGGTCAGTTTCACTATCAGTATGTAAAATACAGTTAATATTATTTTGTGTACATAGATATGAGGATGGCTATAGTCTGTCTTGGATCAGAGTTAGTGGTATATATTTTTATGTTGTCCACCAGATTGCAGTCTCTTAAATATGGAGAATATGCTTTATTTACCTCTGTTTTTCTCTCTTGCCATGAAGTTCTAACAGAATACCTAGTATAGAAGGTGCTCCTTAAGTGATTTCTGAGTGACCAGAAATTAATTCTCCCTATCTTGGGGTGACAACAGTTATTCTACCCTCCAAACATCACCAAAAGACATCACTCTATTCTCAAAAATAAAGGAATTTCCGTGTAATATATGGTGGGATCAAACAGTAAGATGTCCTACTTCCAGGAGGTTGTCAGTCACCATTGTTGATAAGCCAAAGAGTAGGCAGCATACTTCCCTCCTACAATCCATCTCTCCATGAACCAGCCCACCGTTTGGAATTGTTTCTGTTGAGGGTAAAATGAGCCATTATCGAGCTGTGGGAGTTAGGAAAAAGAAGCTGAAGCTTTGGTAGTATAGTCACTGAGTAATTGGTCTTAAAGCTGGGCCAACTCCTCTCTTTGTATATGGGAAGTAGAGAAGCCACTGGGCCCTGAATATGCAGACTTGAATTCTACTTTTAGGTCAACCACCAACCAACTGTGTGACTTGGGGAAAATTCTATCCCTTTTCTGAGCATCAATTTCCTCATCTTGGTTCATCAGGAAATGGGGTTAAGTTGTCTTGAATAATTTCAGGATTCCATGACTATATGTTTTCAATTATCTGATAGTTTGAAGTTTTAATTGGTTGCCAAAGAGGAGGAAAAAAAACCCCACAATGGAATGTGATGTCTTAAGAGTACTGAGGTGCTTATTACTAAAAGACTTCAAGTGGAGCTGGATGATATTTCTTTACTGG